CTGTATTATTCTCTGTAGTATTCTACCATTTAAACATGTTTATTAATAGAAAAAAAACTTAAATAAGGGCAAAAGAATGTATCCTTCACCTTAATGACAGGTCAGCTAAGAATCCAAGCTCTAGGCTGGTCCGAAAGGGGTGAGTTCTCTCACTTGATTGTTCACAGTCAGTTACAGACTGAACTCCTTGTGTTACTCTTTCCCCCGCTTTTCACTACTGACCGTGACTAGTCTAAAACAAAACAAAACAAAACACCCAAAATCCAAGCTCTGAAGCCACATCAGAAGATAGGATTCCAGCTGACATTAGCTGTGTCACCTTGGGCAAGTTACTTAACGATTCTGTATTTCAGTTGCCCTTTCTGTTAAAAATAGTACCTGGCACTCAGACATTTCCTACTATTACTACTACTGTGTTTATTGCCATCCAAGCATTAGACAACATCTTGTTTACTCTTTGCCCACTAGACTGTAAGTGCCAAAAAAACAAGGACCTTGCTGTCCTGTCCTCAGCTATAACTCCAGTGCCAAGAACTGTGCTTGACAAATGGCAATCGCTCAAATAAATTTGTTAAATAAATGTTGACCTGTGGTGCTAGAGAACTGCTTGTGCTTTCCCCTGCAGCTGTCATGCTGTTTCACTTCTCAGTCTGTGCTTTTATTGGTCCTTCTGCCGGGAAGGCCTTTCCCATCTTGATGCCTCAGCTCAGGCATCAGGTTTCCCATAAAGGCTTCCTTGAGGTGGGCCACGTGTCCTCTGTGCACCACAGTGCCTGCTGCATAACTCGATCTTAACACATGCCACATTATATGAAAATATCCGCATGTGTCTGTCTGCCCCCACAAGAAGCAGTCAAGCATAGTGACTGAGAATATCAACTCTGGAGCCAAACTGCCTACATCTGAATCCTGGCTGTGTGACCCTATGCAAATTAATCTGTCTCAGTTTCCTGCTCTGTAAAATGGGGATAATAATAGCACCTATCTCCTAAGGTCCTCACAGGATGAAAAGAATTTGTATATGTATAGCACTCAGAACAGTCTCCAACACCTGGTGGATGTGATATAAGCATTTACGTGTTAAATTATATTATAAAAATCTCCTTGAGGCTGGGCACAGTGGCTCATGCCCATAATCCCAGCACCTTGGAGGCTGAGGCAGGAGGATCACTTGAGGTGAGGAGTTCAAGACCAGCCTGGGCCACAGTGAAACTCCACCTCAACAACAACACAAAATCTCCGGGCAGACAGACACAACATCTTGCTTATCTTCATAGTCCCTCGATGCACAGCACTTTGCAGGCTCCAGAGTTGATGCTCTTAATGTTTAAATGTTCACTGAACTGAAAGATTATTACACTAGTCCACACGAAAGGATTAGTACTCAAACTAAGTTAGTAGCAATAAAGATGGAGAAAGGGTGATGGATGTGAGACGTGCTTCGGGGTAAAAAAAAAAAAAAAAAAAAAAAAAAAAATTAACCAAATAATGCTGCATGATTAGAATGAGATGGGCCATAAACAAGATAAAATTCACAATGACAGCTAAATTTCTCACCAAGATGAGGAATATAAGGAAAGCAAGGAGGAAAAAGGAGCATTCTTAGTAAATTTTTAACAACAAAATGCTTCACTCACTGCTTAAAGAACTTTAAAAGCTCTTCAAAAAAAAAAAAAGCTCTTTAAGAGCTTTTAAGAGCACCACCCCTCCCCCCCCCTTTTTTGAGACAAGGTGTCACTCTGTCGCCTGGGCTAGGGTGCCGTGGCATCATCATAGCTCACCATAGCCTCAAACTCCTGGACTCAAGAGATCCTCCTGCCTCAGCCTCCTGAATAGCTGGGACTACAGGTGTGCGCCATCACATCTGGCTAATTTTTTTTTATTTTTGGTAGAGATCAGGTCTCACTCTAGCTCAGGCTGGTCTTGAACTCCTGACCTCAAGAGGTTCTCTTGCCTCCATCTCTCAAAGTGCTAGGATTACAGGTGTGAACCACTGCACCTGGCCATCCACACTTTTCAAAAAAAAACTTGAACTCTGATCAACCACAACGGAAACCTGGCACATAACATCTAAAAGAATTTAAGCTCCACGAAGATAGGGATTTTTCTGTTTAGTTTGCTGATTTCTAGCACCTGCAACGGTGCCTGGTACGTGGTAGGCACTCATTATATATTTGTCAAATGAACGAAAGAATAATTTCAGTAAATTCAAGCTTTCCATGTCAAGCAAATCAAAAATAATTAAATAAGCATCTACTATGTGCCCAGCATTGTTTTAAATGTCTATAGGGATACGAAATATGATACTTTATCTCCCCTTCCCATATGAATAAATTACTAAGTTTTGCATAACATTAGTAACTTACCATGTTATGCAGTACAAAATACAACTAAGTTCTGAAGAAGGATCAGCATAAGCTGTGTGTCTGTGTGTGCCCTGAGATATGGCTGGGCTTAGATTCTTTACCAATACATCTGATATGATGTAATATGAAAGATCACAAGAAACCAAGAAAAAAATTTGGTAAAGTGGTGCTAGACTCTAGAAAAGCCTGCTGAAGGCAAAGAGCAAATATAATGCCAACTCCCTCTGAAGCCCTTCCTTATTTTCCCCATTCCTAAACAGAATTAATTTGTTCCCTTCTCAGAAGTCTGAACGACACTGTGTTCCTTCTGTTAAAGCACTTATCCCACTGAATCGTTACTACCAGTTTATGCACCAAACTCCTCTAGCAACTGTAAGCGACTTAAGGACAAGGAATGTGTCATCTGTGCCTAGCAAATGCCAGGGACATAACAAACATAGGAATGTGGGGAAAGAGAGGGAATTTGTATTTTAAAAAACAGCCAATAGGTGACTTAGTAGGTCTCAGGGTATAAGAATAACATGAAACAGATGTTTGAAGATTGGCCTTTGATTTTACTGTAGTTTTGAGTGTTATAGAAACTAAAACTGATCCTAGCACTCTGGAAGGCCGAGGTGGGCGGATCATTTGAGTTCAGGAGTTCAAGACCAGCCTGAGCAAGAGCGAGACCCTGTCTCTACTAAAAATAGAAAGAAATTGGCCAAACAACTAAAAATAGAAAAAATTAGCCAGGCATGGTGGCGCATGCCTGTAGTTCCAGCTACCTGGGAGGCTGAGGAAGGAGGATCGCTTGAGCTCAGGAGTTTGAGGTTGCTGGGAGCTAGGCTGATGCCACGGCACTCTAGCCCAGGCAAGAGAGTGAGACTCTGTCTCAAAAAAAAAAGAAACTAAAACTGGATAAATAAAATTCAACTTCAGGGTCCTAAAAACTTCATTGAGCCTCAAATACAATTATAAGCTCTTTATCTAAAACATTCAGATAGTTTTAAAAATCCATTTTGCAGGTTTATTATTACCAATCTTTTGAGATAGACAATCGAAAGTCAACATTTTGAAATAAAAAATATAAACAACAACAAAAAAGGTATCTCACGGCAGATAGCAGAAATAGGCATTCTAAAGCCAATTCTATTCACTGAAGCAAACCCTTCAAAACTCTGGTATGAAATCTCTCTCCATATTATGTACTGTGCTGTATAAAGTATGTTGATAACAACTCAATAAAAGGGAAAACATTATAAACAAGTGAGCCATACTACCTGAGCATAGACTGTGGCCATAGTCTTCCAGTTACAAAAACAAATTTCAGAAGTAACCATCCCTTCTATACAATATATTTTAGACAATCTTCAACTAAAACCATATTTCAATGGGAAAAGCTTTCAGCTAAAAAATCCTACGGTGTACTTAAAATCTAAAAGGAACATATAACAAGACTTTTTGGGTGCTTAATAAACAGCAATATGCCCTATCTGTGAAATAGATAAAGTCAGCTAGAAAACTAGCACTGTATTTGTACCCAACAATGATCATAATTAAGCTAAAGAAAGACACGTTTTTCTTGTCATCTTTATTCAAGTATTTCACAGCAGTTATATTACAAATTACAGTAAATGTTCAAATTCCAGAATTCAAAAATTAAATAATTTACTTCAAACTAATGTAAAATGAAGTCAAATGCAAAACATCAATTTAACACAATTCTAAATTAAACTACAAACCCAAAATAGACCATAGTTGATGAAGTCTACTTAATCTACAAAGTAGATACATGACTGAAACCAAATAGGACTCCCAAAGTCTAAGTAACCAGATGTACAAAATACAAAAGATGCAGGTACAAGCTCAAATTCAAGCTTACAATGTGATTACAAATAATAATTATAATAACAATGGCATTCAGCTATGGGACCTGACACTGAAGATACCTACTGAGTAGCACCATAGCTGAACCAACTTAATCGAAAAAGGGAAGATAAGAAATTACCACCCCACTCCCTAAAAATAAAATCCAGTAAACCTACAAATACATTGGCTTATGAGAAAAATCAAGTCATGAAAGGACATTAAAAAAAAAAAAAAAAAATCACAGGTGAGATTCAAGCTCGAAAACACAATTAACTCCACAGCCATCAGTTTCAACCCTAGTGTGGTTCCATCATCTTCAAAAAGCTCCCAGGATTCCCACAGCTGAGCATGAACTATTGCTGGGCTGTGCTGTGATACACATTTTGCTGATCTGAGAGTAAGGTTTTACATAGGAGCTCATCATTTATAATGCTCACGATAGGAAATAAGAACAGAGGTCAATTTGTACAAATTTTTGCCAATGCTATACAGCAAAAATTAAGAACTTACAGAAAGGTAAACAAAATTTGAGTCCACTTAGATAATTTCACAAACTGCTTTAAACTATAGAACCACCAAATATCTGTAAAATAAGCAAACCTGGTAGAGTGTGTTTCTTTTTTGAGGAAAAGAGGGCCAGAGGATTTCAGCTCATTTTTCTACCCCTGGCCTTAGATTGGCTTTCTCTTTAAGACCTAAACTGTTCAAAGTGGCAGTTCCTATACTGAGGTTGCCTCCAACTTCTCCATCTACATTAAGGTTAAAAACAACAAAAACAAACGAAACTTGATCTTTTGGAAGCATTTTAACGCTGAACATAAATAAATTTCCCTTGTCAAACTTACTGATGGCTAAAATCTTAATTAACTCGTACAAATTTAGTAACCTACTAAGAACATGTGCGTTTTTTTTTCCTTTCACAAGTGCTGCTGTTACTTGAACAGAATGCTTCTGAATTAGAGTAACTGGAATAAATATTTAAAAAAAAATAGTGCAGCAAGAACCTGAGACTTGCAAAAAACCCTTTTACCAGAAACTTGCTACAAAAAATCTGCTACATCTTATTTCATCAAATCTTTAAATTCTGTAACAATTTCCATCAAAATACAAAATGCTAATGTATTAGACAGTAAAATAGTTTGAACTGGTATGATGGTAATAAATACTAAAGAAAGCATGAAAATCCTCCCAATAATCAAATTAGAGGTTTCAAATAACCTCCCCTTTAAAATGGTTCATCGTTAATCGCACTTGCCCACCTTAAAAATACAGTGTGTCTACATGGGTAGCATCTTGGATTATACGACTAACTGAATATTATGAAAACTTCATAGACTAGGTATAAAGAAAACAAGTGGCATTAAAAAAAAATTACACTAGAATTAGAAGGCGCTAGATGTAAATGTAAATGCAAAGAAGCACTTTGGATTACTGCAGTATCCTATGGCCAAGGTATGCTTTCTGCACACTACAAATAGCCAGAGACAAGGAGACAAGTACCTTAGCTTCAGCATGTAAACGGTGGCGAAGTGATTACAGGACTCTGTAAACGCTGTTGGTAACTAAAATACAAAAAGCTGAGGTAGCTCAGTATCTCTGCAGTAGTCCAAGACCAAGACCATTTGCCCTAATTAAAACCCAAACTACATGTGTTGCATATATTGGAAAGACACACCTGCAGCTAACGGCTATAATGAATGAAGATATCAAGCTAACTTGTTGGCAAAATTTTCTACCTTTTTGTTTAAAAATCATCTGATAAAAAATGTCACTGCACTCCCATTGCCTCTTTGCAACTGCCTAGACTGTGTCTCCAAATTTGTAGAAAGTTTTTGTAAAACTAGTAACTCATAATTAATTTCAGATAAGTACAATTCACAGAAATCACTCAACAAGATCCAAAATGTGTTCCAATCAAAATGAAGAGTTGTGAAGGTAAGCTTACGGGAAGGGATTTAAACATTAATACTGTTATTCAAGGACAATACCAGAGCTCACTCGCAATTATGCATACAAGAAATGAATTTCATGGAGCTTCTGACAAATTCCTCTCTTTTCTGTCCATTTGGCAAGTCCTGGCTTTAAAATAAAACAATAACGATTTACTACATATGAAAATCATTTTTCTCCGGGAACTCAAACATGAATAACTATTAAATTGCCACTGACAAAAGAAAGAATGGCCACTATTTATTTTCTGGTCACCATTGTCAGTAATACCAAAAAGTGTGTGGGGTTTTTTTGTGGGCCATGTATTATCTGTTGTTGTTTTATTACGTTTCTTAAACTAAAACAGACCTTACAGGAAAACTTTAGTATATTATGTGGCTTATTGAGTGTCTTGATTGACCTTTGAGAACAAGACAGGCATTTAATACCAAAACACTTGTTGTCTCTTAATGACACAGAGTATCAAAACTTATTTTCAAGGTTGTGACCAAAGAAAGTATTCTAATTTATTTGCTACAAACAAGCCTATCCATTTAGCCTTATCTTTCTCAAACGAATAAAAAGGCACATTAAAGGCTGTTCTAAAGAGCCTGATCTAATTTCATCCAGTTTCTTTAGCTTCTCACCAGAATATTCCATGGCCAACTCTAAAAAGGTTTCAGTCCATTACCCAGATTGGAGGGGTGGGGGGAATATGATAGGAGGGTAGAGAGGAGGAAAAGAATAAAATAAAATAACGGGTTGCCCACTGTTTAAACAATTCAACACAGTTAGAACTGCCCCAGTCCAGTTTCCTCCTGTTTGCTGGTCTGCTCCCTAAGAAAGGAGTCTCCAAAAGAGAGTGCACGAGAAGAGGAGCAGAAGCAAGAGCAGTTTCTGTAGCACCAAAATCTCCAAGCTGTGGGTTGTATTTTTTATTTGTGGAAAATACAACATGTTTCTGAAGTTCTGTTTGGTTCTTGTAGGCTGGTTGGTTTCAGGTACCTGAGACAATAGCACCAAATTCAACAGAGAAAAAGAATGAGTGAGAGAGCACTTTACACCAAGGCTCTGCGCATAATTGGTGCAATTTGAAATTGAATGGCTCAGAAGGCTGCTCTGTCAGGAGCAGATTGGAGAGGATAAACCACTCATCTTGAAAAGTTCATAGGAATGTCTCAAACATATGAACTGTTCTTTCCATCTCCTATAAGGGGAAAAAAAATGCATGTTATCTATTAAGGGAAAGACAAAGGTATTCCTCATTATGCTCATTATGAAAGAATTCACTTTAAATTAAATTTTTAGAGACATAATTTGAGATACAGGTTAAACTTTGAATTTTTTCATGATTACAGTACCATAGCTACTCTGTAAGACTATCTGCCCTAGACACTTCCAAGTATTTCCTATTTTAAATTTAGGCTAATGAGGATGATGATGATAGTAACACTCAACAAGTAATTTATTATGCCAGTAATCTATGACGGATGACTGTGAGTACTACGAATATGAGGATGACGATAACACTCAATGAGTAATTTATGTCAGTAATATGAGTAATTTATTATGTCAGATATTGGACTAAGAAATTTATACATATAAATATATAAATTAGTAAATATTTTATTTAATTTAAATTAATTCCCATAATAACACTGAAGGTTGAAGATAGGTATTACTATGGCCCCATGTTACAGATAAAGAAACCGAGGCACAGAGAGGATAAATAATTTGACAGCTAATAAATGGCAGTCAGGATTTGAATACAGGCAGCCTCTCCAGAGCCTGAGCCCTTTCTTACTCATTATATTCCACTAATTCCCAAAGCAAAATGAATGCATTCAGTGTAGTGAAGCTAATGCCAAAAAGCAGAATGCACCCTGTTTCCATTTCTATTCACTCCAACCAGAAAAAAAGCCAGAATGGGTGGCTGCCATCACCACCACCAGGAAAGCCACTTACTGCTGATTCTGCTATCAATCCCCTCCCCCTCCCTAAACTAGACCCCCATAGATTACTAGGGGTTCAAGTTCCATTCTAAAAGATGTTTCACAGCTGAAGAGTATTCAATCCATTTAAGCTAATGAAATCACAATCGTGTCATCAAAGAAATTCTAGAATAATAAAAGAACTCTACCCCACACATGTCATTCAGATGGTCAAATGTCAAATACATCTAAGACATCTGGTTTTCTTTACTCCCTTTAAATAGCTCCAAAGAAATTCTATGTCTCCATAGAACTAATAGGCTGTAGTAACAAAGTTCTTAAATGATCAATCAAAATCACTTCTGCTAAATGTTTTATCATATATTGCTGAGTAGGAAAAAACTAAGTTACAAAATATAGACTATGACCCCAATTTTTAAATATATAGTCACACACTTATAGATATGTACATCTAGACATTTTAAAAGATTGGAAGACATTCCAAAAGATTAACGTTGACTAGTTTCCTCTAGATGGTGGAATATGGGTGATGTTTTATTTTCTCATTGTGCTTTCCTGTAATTTTATGTATTATAATGACTTAGTACAGCTTTGTAAAAATGTAACTTGTAAAAATGTGATTACGAAATAATTTTTAAATGTTCTCTTGCTTTGATTCAAATCCCATACTCCTTATTTATTATACATGAAAAATAACTATATCCTCTACATACAAATCTTTAATATACTAGTAATATTCCTTGAGAGCAGAAACTTTGTCTTATTCATTTTTTGCATTCCAAACACCTAGCAAAGTATCTGGCACTGAAAGTACTCGATAAATATTTAATAGATAAACCACCAGATAAACAAACTAACAGGCAAATGGACAAAGAGTCTAAGTCACTTAGGCATTTAGTGGGTAGATGAGGGATTATATTTGCTCAGATGACCTTGAAAAGCAGAAGTCTGTCTTAATGACGTAAATTATTGAATAGAGATATAAACTCATATTTATAGGGGAAAAACTTCTCTATGGTGCAAAGTTGGCTAGAAAGGGAATGTATGTTTCATTTCTAAAAGAATCTAAGCAAAAGGACAACCACTCCTTCATGTCTTTACAAGACTAGATTTGATTAAATGAGATGACTTTTGAATTCTCTTCCAACCATTAATGGGGTGGTAAATGGGTCTTATTGCCCATGCCAACTCCTTTAATCAGCAGTGGCTGCCTAGGAAGCAGTGATAACGATTGTGGGGCCATTCCCACATCCAACAAGTCCAACTGATACGCTCAGCCAGCATGTCAGTAATAAGGGAGGAGAGAATTGTGACATACTATTCTGTGTATGTGCCAACCCAGAACCATGGATTTCTGTGTTTTGATAAACAAGGAACCCCGATCACTTCTTTCCTGAGACAAACTGGTACAGTAACTTCAAACTATACTCTTAATTATTCTTCTAATCTTAAATCTTCAAAACACTCTTTAGTTACTTGGCAAAAGATACAGATTTAGGCAAATTAACTTTTTTCTCTTTTCTTTGGGAAAAGTAAAAGCACATGTCTGTTCATCCTACAGATAAACTAAGCACTTACCTCTACAAGTTGTGATTTGTCATAATCTTTACGATGACGGTAGATGCACTGACTAAGAAGGGAATATAATCTCTCAAGTTGATCAACTGCCAGATTGTTGCTTTTATCTACCAACAAATCAAGCAATTTCTAAGAAAAATTAGAAGAAAAGAGAATAAAGATGTAATTTGATTTTGCTAGTGAAATTGAAACAGTTATATTCAAATGCCCAGACATCGGGCACCATAACGCTATGGTGTAACAGCGACACCTGAGGTTAAAAGGTTCAAAGGCTTATTTATTACCAAGACTAATCCCATACCTTTCAATCCCTCAAAACACAAATAACTCTTTTTTACTAGAAACCCTGAGGCACTTATATCCCTAGGTTAAAGCAGGAGATTTCTAAAACTAGTTTTATTAAACTGTCTACAGACACGTTCAAATCTCCCTCCATTCATTTAAAACTGACTGGGAATAAGGCAAGTTTACCTTCAATCTCTCACGATCAACTACAAGAGGTGGCACAGGCTCCGATGGCTCTTCTGGAACCAGTTCCAGGCTTGTTGCTTTTGCCTGCTCTAAGATTAACTTACGGTATTTCTTCACTTTAGAAGCACCTAAAATTGAGGGAAAACAATGTGCTTCAGCACGTAAAAGTTAAGAAAACTCAGTCTTAAGCAACTATAAATTCTTTTACCTACCACAAATCCTATTTGGAATGAGGATGGGTATACTCTTTAAGTGAAAAATGTTTTTTTGTTTACGTCACCCAATGTGGCAGGTAAATGATGTTTTGGTGGGTTAAGAATAAATAACCCAGGCCAGGTGTGGTGGCTCAAGCCTCTAATCCTAGCACTCTGGGAGGCTGAGGCAGGAGGATTGCTCAAGGTCAGGAATTCGAGACCAGTCTGAGCAAAAGTGAGA